AAAAAAAAAAAAGGAACTAAATCATGCCATAAACACCAACAAAAAATAAATAAATAAACTTACTTTCAAAATTCCACCAAATCTTATCATTTTCATATCAACCCCATAAGTTAGTAATTCATCAGGAGCATGAGAAAACCCCCCTTCACAACATAACTATGAAAAGTTAGGAGATTGATTCCAGAAATAGTTAATTTTAATACATTTCATTGTGAAATTTCTAATATCGGTGAGAAAGAAAATGAAAGTAACTTAGTAACAAAAGGTCCAACAAGAAGAGCTTCAGAGTCCTAAAAATCACCTTCCTAAAAGCTTTGCATCGTCTTGATACCCTCTACATGAAAAATTAACCATAATAATGGCAATAAAAAATTAAAAAAATTAACTTAAAACTCCATCTAAAGCAGAACCAGAATTGAATAATGACCATTTTTTCTATTATATATCATTTTCAGAAGGAAAATAAAACTTGGTAATAGGTATACTAATAAACTCTGCTTTCTACTTTTCATTTCATTTTTGTCACAGAGAAAACAACCTTAAGAGCAAGTGGAATAGGCATGCCGACAATGAAGAGGAATTACAAGGGTAAGCAAAAAGAGAATAAAAAATCATACCTGAAAACTTGCCCAAGGAAACAGAGATTTCAGCATGGAATGGCAAATTCTCTTCACCGCCGACACCTCCCAAGGAGCCAGAACTCATGAACCTCTTTCTCCTCTCTCTGTCAGCTTCCTCTCGAAATCCCCCTTTGCTCACTGTTAACAACCTATTTATAGGGGGTAAGAGGATGCCCTAAACCTATGTCTGATCCTACCCTCACAACCCTCCAATTTGCCTTCTTTGACCTCCATCGTCGGGTCGCACAAGCCAAAATTGACCTCCGACTATGGCTTTTTTATGTGGGTAAAGGAAAGTACAGGGAGCGAGATCAAACAAGAGCTTTGAGTCTTCTTATGGTGGCCTTTCAAACAGCCAAACGTCTAATTAAAATTTGGGTTTCTGACTTTGAATGGGTTCGAATGAATTTTGGAGATTTGGGGAAGGAAGCTCGGAAATTAAAGAGGGAAAATGGGAAATCCATGGAGGGAAGTAAAAATGAAGCCAGCGGCAAAGGAAAATAAAGTGTTTAAGAAATAGGGAAATATACAGACGGAACAGTAATCCGTCTGTACATATACATTTATACAAACGGATAATGATTATCGTCGAAATAGATATACTCTATACAAACGGATAAATATAAACCATTTGTATAAACCAACCCTATACATACGGATATATTTTTCCATTGGTATAGATTGATGTATAATGACTGCTTAAGTTTTCCATTGGTATATATGAGTTTACACAGACGGACTTCCATCCGTTGGTATAGAGTTCCGTTAGTATAAGTCATTTTGTTTGTAGTGAACCAAGCATCAAAAAGTATGAAAGGTTTTGAACCCCAATCAACCTTATCATCCTTCAATAAAATAAGGCAATGATCCGACACTAACCTTTTCAATCCCCATTGCTTTACATCACTCCATTCTATAATCCAATCTTCCAATAATAGGAATCTATTGATTCTACTCATGTATTGCCCGTTTGAATTATACCAAGTGTATTTCCCCCCTAACAAAAGCAAATCAAGTAATCAAGCATTATGAATAAAGTCATCAAATTCCCTCATTTCTCTAGAAGTCCTAGTACATCCCGCCTTTTCCTCTACTCTTCTCACAGCATTGAAGTTTCTTGCCAAGCACCACTTCCCTTTTTGCTAGTAATCAAGACTTGCAATTCTTCCCATAATGCTCTCTTACCCACTAATTGACAAGATGAGTATATATATTTAAAATATACACAGGTATCTCATCCTTCCCTCATAATCCATAGACCCCAATGAAATTCTCCCCCTCCAAAACCTCTTCCTTCTTAAACGCTTTAGAATTCCAAACACATAATAGCTCACCCGACATGCCATTAGACGGTTTTGACACCCAATCCATATCCTATGTCCCCCAAATCCTCTACAAGTATTCCTATCAACTACCTTTAACTTGGTTTCTTGAATAGCTAGAAACTCTACTCTTTCTTTGATTATTAATTCCCTAATATGTCTTTTTTTCCCAACCCCTCCAAGACTTCTTATATTATATGACAACAGTACCATTAGGATCTTGACATACCTTCCTACTACCATCCTTATCACAGTTTGCCATGGTTGTTTTTGCTTGTCTGTCCCTCTCCTTTAGCTCCTCAATTCTTTGAATCCTCGTCTTCCTCCACAATTGCTCCAAGCTGCTTCGCCAAATCCCAATCTCCTTTGCTAGCCCATTCTGCATCTTTTTCTTCAAAAATCTATTGCAATTCTGGATGTTACTGTCCCCAATTGAGTCACCCACAATTAACCCATTTGGGCTTGGTAGAAATTTTGGTGCTAATTTCCTCTCCGTCGACTACATGCTCTGTTTTCCTCTTCTTCCTTCTGCTCTCACGGCTTCTATTCCTATGCTTGAGTATAGCGAACTACACTTCCTAACTCTCTTTCTCTTGTTCTTGGAGATCTCCCCCATTTGCTTGCTAATCCATTTTTCTAATCAGCCTTTCTCCGTTTCATAGCCCTTCCGGAACACATCCTCGCCCTCCTCTTCGCTACTATTGTCTGAACCTTCCTTGTTTCTAGATTTTTCTTCTTTGCTTTTTGGATTTACGCTCATTCTTGTACTCTTTAGTTGGGCCAAACCCATGTTTGTGGACTCCTCCACTTTTGGGCTTCTTTTTTGTGTATTGGGCTCACTATCCAGATGTTCCTCGGCATTCTTCTTGTAGATCATTTCGATCCCACACTCTTTGTTGTTGGATCCTGCACCTCCTATAGTGACATCACTCCTCATACCCATACTATTCTTTCCCCCTCATTCAAATTTTGAATTTGTTACAGGCTATCCCCAACCATTACTACTTGTTCCTGTTCTTGTTCCTCTTATCTGTCTCGTAGTTGGAGCTTCCTCTTCTCATTTTTTGGTTTTTTTGACACATCATCATCTTCTCCAATTGCATGATCGAAGTTAACCAGCTCATCCTTCTCTTCACAGTTGAGCTTCTACTCCTCCGTGTCTGTCTCGCTGGTCCACATCTCATGCTCCTTTGAATCACTTTCAAATGAAGGCATGAAATCTTGTTTTAAGGAGAAGAAACTATTAGTGAACTCATCCTTTGTAAAATTCACACTGTATATGTTGCCATTAATCTTGATTTGTCACGTGACTATGATTGTATCCGTAATTAGACTGGAGATCAAGAATTTAGCAATGTCAAACCTTCTCTTTTTACTTGTACTATCATCCACACATATAAATTTCCCCTATGAACAGCTCATGGTTGAAAAGAAATCAGTTCCCCAGGCATTTAATGGTATTCCTTGACACCTAATCCATACAAACCTCTCATTTGCAACCATTTCAGGTGATCAAGGACGCACCTCTTCAAACCATTACCATAGCCAATATGATGCCATTTCAACCAAGTCCTTCAATTCCTCTTTTTCCTGGCAATCTAATAATACCAATCTACCTCCCATCGGCCTAATTTGGCATGAAAAGTACCTTTCCATATAAAACTTCTCCCGTAAATTATGAACCATTTCAATAGAATGCACTATTCCAACGTAACAACCCTTCAGCCATGCATACTCCTCGTGTTTTATATTATACTCCATTCCAACCCATTTTTCTCCTTTTCCCCTCTCTTGCCATTGTTTCCTTGATTCCATTCTCCGGTATCCATATCTATGTCTACTTCTGCTTCTTCCTTATTGCTTTGCTCTGTATACTCCTTGTCTACAATGTCTTCCCTGCCAAATCTATTCTGTTTTGTTGTACTTTGTGACCTTCTATCCTCATCCCTATTATTCTCTTGCCAACCCCTTACCACCTCCACGTAGCTTCTATTCTAATCCTTTGTCACCACTTCCTTATTTCTTCTTTCTCTAACTTTCTTCTTTCCCTCATTAAATCTTGGCCTATTTACCCATAATTTCCGACCCCCAATCCATATATGATCTAATTGTCTTTCAAGTTCATTTTTGTTTGACGCCTCTAAAAATCTCACAAACTCAAATCAACCACCATTCTTGCTCTTTCTGTTTAGGCTATATATGTTGTAAACCCTTTCGAATTTAAGAAATGTTTTCCACATGTCTTCATAACTCTAGTGATCCACGCAGTTGGTAAAGAAATAAGGTGTGGCTTGTTTGTATAGACCCCAGTTGTACTTTCCATCCTTTTGCATCTTCCAACCCTAGTGCTGAACATCTTGCACTCTTCCCTATCTCGCTAGCTCAAATCTCCTTTGTTGGCTTCTTCCACGAGGTCCTTCATGCTCTTGATTCAGTGTCGTTCATCTTGCCGGTGAGTTGTGTCCACCTTGTTCCCTTCTCACACTCTCTCTGCCTCTCTTTCTCATATCTCTCTTTTTGTAGGACACTTGAGGGAGTACTAATTTCATTCAAATGAATACTTAAATTATATAAATTTGATAGAATTTCAATTGTACAATAATTTTTTTTGCTTGAATTTTCCAAATACCAATTGAAAAAGGGTCCGTTTTCTCATTCCTCTGTCCCAAGTTGTCTGTTCCATTGTCTTGAGTGGACTCGGCCACTATACCATCAAAGGCAACATTTTTTTTTTTTAATTTATTGCTCTTTCGTCAAAACTTTTCCGCTTTTCTTTTGGATTCATCAATCCTGGTTGAACACTACCAAGAAAAGTCATTCATTGGTTAAAAATGAAAGCAAGTCTTTTTATCTACTACCCCATGTGTAAAGGACAATTTCCGTGTTCTTTAACTGTCTTTTGATAATACCAGCATTTGTAGCATTGACTTTAAGTCACTTGACATTGTTTATTTTATTCCACAATTTTTCCAATTAAGCACCGATGATGGTGGGTCTTTCTTTGACTGGGATTAATTATAGGCTACAAAGACATTAATACTCTAATCTATTT